GCAATTGGAATTCACGTCCGACACGGCATCACAAGCCATGGCATCGCCTTGAACTGCAATGTTGACCTTAAATGGTTCGAGGAAATTGTGCCTTGCGGTCTTGTCGGCAAGAAGGCGACTTCGCTTAGCAACCAGTTGCACCGAACTGTCACAGTCACAGACGCCATCGTGCCATTCGTCACTGCTTTCGCTGAACATTTCAACTGTATTGCTGTTTGTGATTCAAAGATATAAGCTGCGTAATGCAAAAATGTAATTTTTAGTTTTTTGAATCTTATGATGAATCGTAATAGTGCGAATGGCTCGTCGACTGCAATGCAACTGTTTTAAACGTGACATACACAGTGTTTAGCGGAGACACTTTTGTAATGTATTGACACAGTTCTTAACACGTTGGATTCGAACTTCAGAGATGCCGGACTTCGTTCCTATGAAGGCCAATCTTAGTCTTAACCACGAATTCCCTTAAGCAAGGAATTTACAACAAATTATTTCATACCGGCGTTTTTCGGTCGTTAGTGCATCGAACTCAGAACCGAGAGATCCCGCGCTTGAGATCGCGGTCGAGTCACTCACTTTTCTTCCTTTTGACGTTGCTAAATTAGTAATGCTATGAGGTAAGGAAACAGGAGAATACCAACCATGCTTGCCACATAGATGCTGAAGAATTTGCCTTTGAAAAATATGATAATCTTGCTGATGACAGAAATAGAGAGTAGCGCATCATCATTAATTTCATGGTGACATCAGATTTGGCCTCATCATGGAGCTGTTAAGAAGGCCGATATTTCAACGGTTACAAACAATTTTCTTTCCTTTGTGGAATGAGTAGCTCAGAAAGCACTTGCCATCAGCGATTATAATTTTCATTTGATTTATAAGCGATGCAGATATTTTACCGAGTCCAGATTCCTCATGGTGGACTTTTAAAGACTTTAACGTGTATAACGCAAATGGTTTTGGTTGATTTCTGCTGCGGTCCTTCGATCTCTATGTCCGTCACTCAATGAAATTCTTTAGTGATCAGCTGAATCCTGGTATCTCGAAGTCGCATCTTTTGCAGTGATTACATCAGGAGATCAAATAAACTTCTATT